CTTATGGCAGAGCCTGCCTGTAATCAGTCCAGCCCCCATGCTGAGCGTGCACTGGGCAGAAAGCTCCTCTGTCCATCTCTGGGCTGAAGCGCTGCAGAAGGTTGGAATTTAAAGAATGAATTTTTAGATCCTGTTAAAGTTCATGTTTATCCTGTGTTTTTTAGCTGCACGCCAACAAACAACATCCACAACACTTTGTTACGACACTATACGATCACGTGAACAGGAAGCTGTCATGTTCACGTCAGAGTTAAATGGCCAATTACAATTCGGTGCTGCGAAGACCAGTTTTGCATAGTAGGGGGCGGAGCTTAGCCCAAGAAGATAAATGTACATGATTGACTTCTAACCGGTGCTCTTTGGTGGGATTGCGTCGTTTAGACAACATTCCCCAGAGAGTCCAGCGCTGTGATATCCTACTTGTGGCCGGAATAAATTCCATTCATTGTTAAAGAGCTGTTCTGTTTATTTTCCAAGTTTCCATAAGGACCGGGTGGAATCAGCCCACCTAACAGAATCCAGAAGACACACACTTATGTTTTGTAATGTGTAAATATGGTCAGAATGACAAACATTCAGGTGTGATGAGCTGGTCTGCTGTGGACTGTTTAGGAGCAGATGAACAGACATGGTGCACGTCAGTCTCAGTTTCTGGGTTAAAGCAGCTAAATTCATGTTTCCCTCCCAACGCCTCTTTTCTTCTGCGGTGGCAGAAATGTTGGTTTTAGGCCAACACGCGGTGTGTATTTTGAACTCTGCTGAGGCCCATCTGACACTCTCTCACACACACACACTCACTCTCAGCGCCTGCAGATGGAGATGTTGTTTCCATGGCGACCCAGTATGGAGCATGATTAATTTAGAGATATTTTCTCCTCCGTCTCTTCTCCTCCATCTGGTTGTTCTTTTACTTTGGAGCCGTCATGAACACATTAGTGGGTCCAGCTCCTGCTGACCGCAGCCTAAAGCCGGTCAAACGCTGGGCTCAGGCCACTGTTCTGATCAGTGCACGGAACATTTCCCTTTAAGGAAACTTAATGCTGGGACTGTGAGCTCAGTGTGAAGCAGCAGGATTCATTTCACACATGAGGTTAATTTTAGAAGAGCCTTTTCACTTTGCTGGATTCTGTGAATCTAACAGGAACACATCTAAGCTCCTCTTTTCCAAACTGTCCAAACATTTCTCTGAATTCATATCAGAATGTGCTGGAAGACTCATGGCCATTTAAGGGTGCAGGCTCTGAAAACCGTTTGTTTGTTTGTACAGTTGGTTTCTGGTGTCCCATAAGCAGGTGAACCCCACACCATCCTGGTCCTTCCACCAAACTAAAAAACGGATTAATGTTTCGTCTTTGTGCAGATGGACCCCTTCACCAGAACAGTTTCAGATGAAATGGAGGGGTGGAGGCTATCATGCTCTAACAGAGAAAGGCTGCTTATTCTGGTACAGCAGGGCCTCTGCTCATGATTGGCTAAACAGACGAATTTCAAACATACAAAGTGAAATTTGATCCAATATTTGACTTTACACCCAAAGTAAATTTACAACATACGATGTCAAAGTCATAGAAAAATATACGTAAAATATCATAATGAAATCAAAATAACTAGTGTAAGTGTGTGTAGGTATCGTGTGTAAAGTCAGAGTGAGTTAGGGCTGGTCCTGTATCTCAGTCTCCACCAAAATAAATAAATAATAACAAATAAATATATATATATATATATAAATTAAATCAAAATAACTAGTGTAAGTGTG